TGGCAGTTTATCAAAGGGGGGGGGGCATGCTCTTATGGATTTAAAAGTGTTTGATCGTTTTCCACCTAATATGAAAAGCCAAGGCAATGAAGTGAGACTATTTAAACTGGCCTTAAAATATTTCTTTTTTCTAATTCATTTTATTCCTTAGAGGAATATATTGATTTTAATTTTAACTAATATAATTACTGTATCTGATTTTACATACAATCACATGTTTTAATTATAAATATACATATTTGTGACTTTGTGTATAGTGTATTTACATATTCTATGACTTTTTATTTTTTTTTGACGATTTTCATATCCAGGGTTTTTGTAATGAGTTAGGATCTACGGAATGTGAATTGATGATGATGATGATGATGATGTTTTCGTGGCTAGTTGTGGTAAGATTACGATTTATGCAGATGTCACAACTCATTTACCCAAAATATGAATACTGCAGGTTCCTTAGAATCGTAGGTGCCTGCCCACCAGACTACATGGTGTCACATCCCAGCCAAAATTATATACCTTCGAATGGTTCGTGAATACTGACTTGAAAAGTATATGATATGAGGTGGTCATGGCTTGAGTCCTTTTCCCGGCATTTGCCAAGGGGGACTAACGAAAACCATGAAAACATCACTCAAGCTAGCTGGACATCAGGCTGAAATTTGAATTCGGACATTTCCCACACATGAAGTGAAGCACTGATAGGATCACTTAACTGTGACACTTGTAGTTTCTGGTTTAGAATGTGCAGATGTTTTCCTTGTGTTTTATGATCTAGTGTGGTTACACACGAGCTACTTTGCTGACACATTATGTTTACAGTATGCTCCTAATTCAGTAGTAACAGATTTGTTTTGACAAAGGTACACAACAGCAGTAAAAAAATAAAAAAATCTTGTTATTGGTATGTTAAACAAGGAAAGTATGGCCTCTGTTTTCAAGGGTGAGTGTCCTGAAAATAGGTCATCCTGCAGTGGATTTTGACACTAGTTACGTACGTAGTGTAATTTAAAATCTGGTATAACTTCAGATTTTTAAGCACTGTTAGGGCCATACATTTGTCAGCAACAGGAACTACAGAAATTGCTCATCAGCTGCAGAGCACTTGTATCTGTGGCTTTTTTTTTTTAGTTGTGGTAAGTGGCCTGTTTGGTTTTAAATATCTGTGGCCTTTAATTAGTGAGTACACTGAAATGGTGGCTATTGCACGAATAATAACACCCGTTGGTGGTAGGGCAGTAATGGATTGTAAAACCAGTGTCTAGTGTAAAGCTTACAATGGTGGTACATTCTTTTGTTGACCTGCTTCTGTTTATTTGTATTTTATCTCTAATATTATTATGCACTTTTGTATTTAGTGAAGGAACATGCAACTACAGGCTCTGCTAGGATTTTTTTTTAGAAGGAGGCAATGAGAAAATTTGTGTATGAACTGAAATCATTTAAGAATATTTTTGCTGAGCGTCCTACAGTATTTAGGATAGAAGAGTACAGTATTTAAAATAATTTTAACCATTGGTGTTAGTACATTTATTTCCATTTTTAAAAAACCAGGGAACGGGCAGGCAGAACTATTTCTTGGGGGTGGTTGAAATTAGGAAGAAATGCCTCATGTTGATGATACAAAGTAGGCATTCTTTACAGATATATATGAGATTCTTTACAAACTAAAGTAATAAAGAAACTTCTTATGTGAAGATCATACCTGCCAGTCTGTCCATCTGTCACCTAGTATCAGTGCCTAAAACCCTGGATATTTTTTTTCTAATTCGACATTGAAGATTTTCACTGTAAGTTGTAGGGAAATTCTGATGTTTAGCCATATTGACCCGTAATAAAGCATGTTTTTATGGTCATGAATGAGTTTGTGCATGTGTGCCATGAAGCACACAAATAGTGGTGATGTAATGTAAGAACTGGTTGCATAATGTAAGTGCCTGTTTTGATTTGTGACCATGTTGACCAGTTACAAACACTGTGGTGTGTAATGTCATAAGTGAGTTTCTTCATGCATGTCATAACTTGTTGCTTAGATTTTGGTGAAGATTGATACGACAGGTCCTTGCATAACATTAGTTGGTCATTTTGATTTTTAGCCATGTTGACCTATTTCAGGACACATTAGGAAACCAACTTACAAATGCAGATCGTATGTAATCAAGGCAGATATAAGAGAATGTGCCTCAGTTAAAGGGAAAGAGCTAAATTTTGTCATTCTTCAAAGGAAAATTTATTTATGCTGTGGCTTGAGATAGTATCATAACCAGTTCTGAAATTCACTTCCTTACTTACTCATGGAGCTGAGCCCTTCTGGAGGAGCAGCCAATTCTGCAGCTACTGAAGAATTTCTCAGCATTTTATGGAACCTGAAAGTTCATTACTGTGTTCACAAGAGCTGGTCCCTATCCTGAGCCAGATCAATCCAATCCAATCCATACCATCCCATCCTGTCTCTCTTGGATCCAGTTTAATATTGTCCACTCACCTACATATTGGTCTTCCCAGTGGTCTCCTTCCTTCTGGGTTTCCCACCAATATCCTATATGCATTCCTCTTCTCCCCCATTCATGCTACATGTGCTGCCCACCTTATCCTTGACTTGATTATTCTAATTATACTTGGAGAAGAGTACAAGTTATGAAGCTCCTCTTTGTGCAGTTTTCTCCAACTTCCTGTCACTTCATCTCCCTTCAGTCCAAATATTCTCCTCGACACGCTGTTCTCAAACACCATCAGTCTATGTTCCTCCCTGAACGTCAGAGACCAAGTTTCACACCCATACAGAACCACAGGCAAAATTATAGTTTTGTATATTCTAATTTTTATGTTTTTGGACATCAGACGAGAAGACAAAAGGATCTGGACTGAATGGTAGCAGGTATTACCCAAGTTCAGTCTCCTCTTAATTTCCTCCTGAATCAAGTTTTGAGTTATCGTTGTTCGCAAATATCTGAACTGTGACACATTTTCAAAACATGTGTTTCCTATCTTTATGTCATGATTTTGCTCTGTATTCTGGTGACGAGACAGCAAGATATACTTAATTTTCTCTGTGTTTACTACTAGACCAACCTCCTTACTTGCGTCAATTAAAGTTTGTGTGATTTTCTTTATGGTATCTATATTATCACCCAGTAGATTCACAACATTGGCATAGGCCAACAGCTGATGTGTCCTGTTTAATTTCAGTCCCACCTGCTTCTCTTGGACCTTCATAATGGCATTTCATTCATAGCATTAAATAATACATAGGTAGACTGTTGGGAAATGTGCAGATTTTTTTTTCACAATATAACTGACAGTCTGATGACTAAGCAGATGGACTTTAATTATTAGCTCCACAACAGTAATAGTGAACCGCTGTAGCAAGGCATCTTGAAAGTCACCATAAAGATAGTCTTTTTCTCTGTGTTTTTTTGGAAACTTATTTTATATGTGTTGGAAATTATGATCATATAATGGTCATTTCCATGTTGTGCACACTCATATTTGGAATTTGAATATATGTGAATATACTAAAGAGATTGTATTGCACAATTTCTGTATGTGTGAAATATGATATGCACATAGAATATTAGTAGTTAACTCTTGTGGAAAGAGGCTGTTAGTGAGAGTAGGGTGTACTTGAAAGGAAAGTATTAAAGTGGATCTTGGGAAGAGTTGTGATGATGTAGATTGAACTGGCTAATAATGGATCCAAATGGAGTTTTATTTATAATAGTGATGAACTTCAGATTCCATAATATTGTAGACAGTATAATCACGGCGTTTCCTATAACAGTGCAACCGCTGTGTAACAATGCGTGACAGGTCCAGCATGCCAAGGAAATTTGTCATGTCATCAAGAGCTACAATTAAATTCCATAGGAAGCAGAGTGTTCTCATGTTTCATTTTCCTCAGTATCTCTGTTTCTTCTTCTCATCTCTTAGTAAGTAACTTCACGGTGAATATTGAGTGTCAATTATAATTCCTTTATGTTTCAAGACTTCTGCTCTGTTTCCTTGCTGCTTTATACTCTGATCACATATATGTAAATTATTATGAACAGATATAGAGCTGACTGTATGTTACTATCTTAAAAACATTCATGTGTTTATCCTTGTACTGCCATACAAAAGATGATCGAACTGGAATATCCTAGCAGGGTAGTGGTTCAGTAATTGAAAAAGAAAAATGACTTCTGTGTTAATTTTGTCATGTTTGCCTGTCTGCATAACACCAAAACTGTGTGACTGATTTTGAGCAAAATTAGTTTGGTAGGCTTACACTAAGTTGAAGAGTATTATTGGCTTTTATGTGACTCCATGTAGTTTGGTTGAAATTTTCCGACATTTCAGATCAATGAACTGCCATCATCTTCAGGTTTGAATAAGGTGAGAAATTGGCCAAGCAACCAGCAAGCTTGATTGCTTGTCTTACTCATTAGCTCTGCAGATGGAGGAGTAGGGAGTATCAAAGTCTTGGCTGCCCCCCCCCCATCCCCTGCTAGCACCCATGTCAAGGATAACATGCCAGTGGAGACTATATGATCCATCACCTAAAATGGGTTATTAGACAATCAGCCAATGGTTGTCCCTGGCTTGTGAGGGGCTGCTGTTGAGTTGATATGTACTTGGTGGCGTTTTTGTGCAGGAAGTGCAGAGCCGAAGGATGGTTGTACAGTGAAGCAGTACTCCTTATACCAGTTGTCACAAAGTAACCTTGCCTTTTGGTGACAAGCAGTTACATGTCAGTTGATATGCACTACACTATGTGCATATTGTATCAACAGATACAATATTATATTTACGTAACATTAAGTTAACTCATTATTCTTTATCTTCATAAACATTGTGATGTGATTACTTGCTTTTATGTGATTGGTGCGTTGCTAACTGGTTTACAGCCACATGTATGAAGCAAATAGGGTTGAATTTTTTTCCCACTATCTTGTATATTCCTAGAGCATTTAAATTTCTTTAATTTTGTGTTACTGGTATAGATGATATAGTTTTTCTTAAAGGTGTTGCAGATGGTGTTGGTGGCTGGAGGCATTATGGAATTGATCCGGGAGAGTTCTCAGCATTCTTGATGCGAACGTGTGAACGATTGGTGTCTAGTGGGAGATTCATTACAACAGAACCTGCAGGCCTTCTTGCAAGAAGCTATTATGAGCTACTTGAGAGCAAGCAGCCAATTCTAGGTGCAAATGGTTTAATTATCTGCTTTATAAGTGCGGTTAGCTTTGTGTCTGTTCATTCATGCACATGACAGAACTAGTCACTGTATTTTTTCACTCGTTAAGAACTCAGCTCAGCCACAGATGCAGTCACCATTTTTGCCCAAATAATTGGATATTTGTACTACATTCAAGTTACATGCTTAAATCGAAAAAATTCAGTTATATTAAGAAACTTTGTCAGTTCATTAAATACATATTGCTAAATTAGTACCTCATATATATTTTATTCTATTCGAGAACATCTTTATAGCTCAGGATGTGCACTAGTGTGGAAAGTATGTAAATTTATGGGCAGTAAACTGCTTTGGAATTCTTCAGCATTGCCTTGGCATATAAACAATCATGAAATTTATAGAACTTGTTGTAAGTAGCAGCACATGTTACAGGTAGCAGTACTGCATGTGTTATTGTGCTGAATCGAGAAACAAACATGGTCTACACTGCAAATATTGGAGATAGTGGCTTTGTAATTGTTCGCCATGGAGAGGTGGTTCATCGTTCTGAAGAACAGCAACATTATTTCAACACACCTTTCCAGTTATCTCTGCCACCCCCTGGCCACAGTGGCTTGGTGCTTAGTGACAGGTAGGTCGCAATTTTAAAAACTTTACACATATAACATGATTATCAGTTGCGCTTTAATGTGAAAGTTATAATTTGTTTGTAGTTTTTGTAATTTCTTCACATTTTCACAGTAGATAGTAATAATAATTAATGAAAATCCTCCAGATGTAAACTTAATAATTTAAAGTCAAGACCAAAGATATCAATGGTCATTTTCTCCATTATTTTCATTGTAAAGTGCTCTTTCTGGTAGTAATGTAAATTATATTTTTTAAATAGCTGGTAATAATTTAACGTATCTTTGCTGGAGCTGGGATAGTGACTGGAAATGGGCTGGATGACCAAGGGGTCAGAGTTTGAGTCCCAGTGGGGACAAGAATTTTCACTTCTTCGTGTCGTCCACACCGGCCCTGGGGTCCACCCAACCTCCTATCCAGTGGGTAGTGCTTAATTAGTTAAGTACAGGGACAACTGTACCTTTACCTTGTGGTTGGATTGTATGGCATGCTTTGTACTTTGTTCATAAATATTTAGACAGATTCCTCTAATTTTAATGATTTTGGCCCATTTTTCTGTGAGTAATGTACTACATTTCACCTCTTAACACTAGATATAAGTTAATTAAAACTCATGCATGTAGAGTACGTTTTGTAAACTATATTACGCTTGTGTTAAAGTTTGTAATTCTGTGCACTAGCCCATGAGAGCTGTTCCATCTCAAAAGTGGCTGGGAATTTTTTACCTCCAGTTATTTCAAATTGCTCATTAATACAATAATGTTCCTATTTCAGAACATGCATTATTTTTAAGGAAATGAAAAAAATGGTTATTGATGATGATGATCTTGTAACATTAAACAGTAGGAACAGCAGTATATCTTGTGCTGATAAACATCTTTACAATTTTGTTACCATGTAAATGTGAAGCTCCAGGCTTGATTTGTGTGCCTTGTAAATTCAAGGACTGTGGGTGCTAGCATAAAATTGTAATATTAAATATATATTCTTGGGAAGCTGCTATGAGTACATGTAATAAATTTTTGATAGCTTTTTTTTGCATTTGTTCACTGTTTTTCTATTTAAAAATCTATTTGCCCAGTCAAAATATATCACTGTTTATTATGAATGTGTATTATGGAAAACATCTGAATGTGCATTTGTGGTGGTGGTGGTTTTGTTTTTATTCTTCTCATGTAAAGGTACTTGTATATTCATACAATTATTGTGTTTCTGAATGTTATCCATTGGCCTGTTTTTATTTAAAACACAACTTTTACATAAAAACAGGGCGATGGATAATGTCTAGAAACACAATAATTGTAGTAATATACCCTTGTCATTAACTTTTAGAGCTTATTTACTGGTGTATTGAATTTCCATCGTATTTTTTAAAATAATTTTATAGGAACAAGGAAACTGAAAGAAAATTGAACTTGTTCATCTATCCTGTCAAAACATGTCACTCTAACTGTATGATTGTGATTGAGTTGTTACCATTTAGTAAGTAATCCCCAAGTGCTGGGAGTTACTGTGTTACAAATTCTAAAAATATCATATAATTTTTGTGATTGTATCACCCTAAAGACGTCTTTAAATGGTACCTTCTTGTCCATGCAGCCACACTGAAGGGGCAGTGAATCCGTGCTTGCTGTGCTGTCTTATTTTTACATATTCTTTGGTGTATCAAATAAAATCGGGCACATGGTAGCGTAGTTGAGCCGAAAGGTCATGAGTTCAAGTCCTGATGAGGTCATTGGATTTTTTCAATTGACCTAATTCTTCCAGCCGCACTATGGCCCTGGGGTCGACTCAGCCTCTAACAGAAATGAGTACCAGGAATATTCTTGAAATATTCTTTGGGGTAAAGGGCGGCCGGTGCATAAGGCTGACAATCTTACCTCCATATGTGAGCCGATTGTCTAGAAAATGTGGGAACATCTACGTCTCACAATCCTATGGGCCTTCATGGCCTCTTACAGGGATAGCTTTACCTTTTATCAATAAATAAAATGCATTCTTTGGTCAAGCAAGGATCACAGAAGAGCATAAGTCTGTTGTTGATGACAAGATAGCAGAATTTTACTAGAGACAGTGTTAATTGAGAATGTTCTAAATAGGAACTCGGTGTTTGAGGAGATGTTTAGACTCAAGGGGGTAAGTAACTGGAAGATGGAAGATGTTGCATAATGAGGGGAGTTTCATAGTTTTTACTGACTAAATATTGTTGGGGTGATCAAATTAAGGAGGATCAGATGGGCTGATCGTAAAGCACCTCTACAGAAGATGAGTTATGAATGCAGAATTTGCCAGAATGTCTGATGGGAAGAAAGCACATGAGAGTCCAGGGTAAGGTGGGTGTATAATGTGAAAACTGATCTTAACGAAAAAGGATGTGAGGATGTGGATTGCATTCAGCTGGTTTAGGGCAGTGTCCAGTGATTGATTCTTGTTAACATGTTATGAACCTTTGTGTTCCATAAGGAATTGGGAATTTCTTGATCAGCTGAATGATTATGGGCTGATCAGGGTCTCATTATGTAGATAGGTAAGAGTTGTTAATCTTAAAAGATCAGAATGTTTATATTATAGTAATGGTATTTTAGGCCAGAATCAGCTGATACATCAAACTTCAAAGTGGAGGATGGTGATGTCATACTTCTAGCAACGGATGGAGTGTTTGACAATGTCCCCGATCAGTTGCTGATCACAGAGTTGATAAAGGTTCAAGGTGAACGTGATCCTACCAAGATCCAGGGAGTTGCAAATTCCATTGCTTTAATGGCAAGAAGCCTAGCATTTGATGGTAACTTTATGTCTCCATTTGCACAGAATGCTCGAGAAAATGGCATTGATGCTGTTGGTGAGTACCCCAGGCTGTTTTTCCATTATTATTGTTGTTTATAATTGATGGCCTTTAATGAGTTCAGTGTCTTTTTGTGCAGGTGGGAAACCAGATGACATAACAGTACTTCTAGCTACAGTGGCAATATGAAGACCAAGGTGGTTGTGTAGTAGTTCATGGACATTCTTTTGTATAATAGTTTCATAATTTTCTCAAGACCAGGATAATTGGTTAGTAATTCATCAACATTCTTTTGTACCATAGTTCATCATGTTCACAATGTTATGTTTTAATTACTTTTTGATACACTACATGACAGTTTTCATATGGCCTAAGATCTTGCACTTCTTCATGGAGATGCATTTTATGTGTAGTAGAAGGGTCATTTGAAAAATAAAAGCCAGGCACAAAATTCAGCCACTTAATTAAAAGATGGGGTACACCCAGCTGTCATGCTATGGTATATTTATGTAGACACTTGCTGGCGTGAGGAGATTATTATTTCTCATTATGTACATAGTTATTTTGTCAGCAATCATTTTGATGGTTGGATTCTTTTGGCCATCGCCATTGATATTCTTGACATTGCGCCTGTCAAACTTTTTCTTTTTAAATCTTGGTATGCGTGTGAATGCTAGTATGCAAGAGGTCATCATTACGGAGAATGACTTCTTATAAGATTGAAGTGATGTAGTAGTGCTAGGTAAAAGTCCACAGTAGTACACTCAGCAACTTCATTCCAAGACATGAAGGTGTATCATGAAGAAATTCCATTGGATGATATTGCACTAAAGAGAGTGTGTAGAAGAAAATAAACTGGTGGTTAAAGAACTCTATGACTGACATCCTGAAGTGATGACATCTAGTCTTTCAACAAAACCACATCTCTGAGAACACTGTTAGTACTGGAAGGCTGACTGAAGTATCAAGAGCTATAATTGTTAAATTATTAATGATTATAATTACTCCTTTTAATACCTTGCTTCATTTGCTGACTTAAAATTATTTTCATACTTGTTACTGAAATTGTCCAATGTGATTTATTTTCATACGGCCGCTTTTGGTGCTGTAGGAATAGCCAGTTGTTAATGTTGTGAGCAGCATTATCAGTTTTGAAGTTGCTCAGCTAGTGAAAGCTGAAATGAATTGTGTTTCTTTTTTTTTTTAAGATGGCTGTTCCAGTGAACATTATGGTCATGCATTGTCAGTCTCTGAAACTATTAAAAAAATCGTTTATTCCAGAAACCAAATGAGAACCATACATGCATCATTATTCATTTTTAGGGATATCAATTGATATACATGATTTGGTGTGGTATCAAGGAAAATATTTTAGGGCTAATACAAAAAGAAACATCAGAGGTGTCAAAGCACAACACTGTTTAACTTATTCCAGGCAGAGTAAGACGTGTTGAGCCTGAAATATAAGTTTATCTGCACTTTGATATGTGCAAGATGAAGTAATCTCCAAAGTAAGTGGTCTGAGAGAAAAATACTAATTTGCATACCATTTTCCCATAAGTGGGATTTCTTAACTTGTTTTATAGTTCATTTGTGTGGATGATGATACTGTACTATTAGGATTTTCATGAACTGCTTTTTTCCCTCTAAAAATGTTCAGCAACGCCATTAGAAAGTTACTGACACAACTACCAGTATTTTGGAGGAGTGTGCTGCCTCCATCTTCACGATAGAAGGAACTACACAGTGTCACAACTCACTGGATGACACTAAATTTTCACTGCCATGGAAACCTCATATCTGATAAGCAAACATTAGTTTTGTGATGATTAGTACCTGCATTATGAATGAAAGAACAAGAGAAGGTACTTGTAAGCTTGCAGGATGATTTGTGATAAATGTGAATGTGATATGTTGATATGGAAATCATTGTCAGTTGATATCCCTATTTATTTTGTTGTAACAGCTTTTCCCCTAAGCTTCAATAAAAGAAGAATCCATATACCTAAAATAATTACTGCCCATAATACAAATTACAGAAGAATTAAATATACAAAGAGTTCTTTTGTGAGTATAGAGTCAGGTGGGGGATTTAAGTTGGGTCAAGACACAACATGTAAGTTCACTTCATGCTGCACTGTCTAGAAAATGCAAGATATTACTGTTCTATATTAAATGAATTAATCCTCTGTCTTACACATTTAAAATGTGTGTTCCATCAGCCCCGACTTTTCTCATTATTTAAATTGTAAAGGTTTTACTACATTTTACATGAGGAGAGCCCTCTTAATTTTATTATATTCAGCACTGGGAGGAGCAAAGGGTTAAATAAATTTTTTATATAATATGAGTATTTGAAATGTATTAGCCAGTTAGAACTGCTGCATTGCTTGAAAGGCTAAATGAATTTTCTATTTCTTTCAATAAATATTTCGTGCTATTTTCAATCAAATACCATAATGAAAAAATTCATGATTTTCTTTGAATGGCAGACAATGGCCATTACTATCAGGAATCATGTTACCAGTGTGCACTCTGTTGGTCTGTCTGTCATATTCATAATTCACTGATGTCAATGCATGCACTTTGCTTCACAACATCTGTACCCATATTCTTGTCCTTATATTTTCATGGCTTGTGTATAATGTCTAACTTGCATTAGTTGTTCATTACAACTGTGTGTTACGGGAAACTTTCACATCATTACGTTCACCAGTAGGCTGCAAAGGAATAAGTTCTTAGTGATGTACATAACAAGCAAGTTGGCTTATGCAGTAACACTTCTGACTTGAACTTTGGAGGTACTTGGGTCATATCTGGCTGGGATACCCACTACCCTGAAACAGTAGCTCCAGTTAGCCCACAGCTGCTTCCTTTTACATCATTTCCAATATAACATCCACTAATCATCCAACAACTTGATGTTACTTCTGAGTTTCTTGGCAGCATCATTAAATAAATCATGTGTTGACATGCCTCTTCCACTCTTGTATTTTTCATTCAGTTACCAAATAACAGTATTAGTATGTGATCTATGAGGAAATTGCTTGTGATGTCCAAACATTAAATTCTTGTGACAAATTGAAATATAATTTGGAAAGCATTTGAGTTTGCCTTCATGTTGATGAGAATGGATGCCATATATTCTCATATGTTGAACACAACCTTCAAATGCAAAGGGTTAAGATCATTATCAATAATTTCACAGATTAGAACCATCTGGCCTCTCCTGACTTCAGGATTAAAATTGGCATTTTCATTCCACCAACTGTGCCATATTCATTTATCATCCTATCAGTGATGCTATATTCCCAACACTGACAGTGTCATTAGATAACCCACTTAAACAATTACATTTCATCTTATTGTTAGTTTTTAGTGCATTTAGTCTGGTCCATTCTTCGAACATGCTCACATCAACTGATTCTATAATCTCCAATCATTTTGATGATATTTTTAATATTAAGCCTATTAGGCTGTATTTTTGTGCTCTCTCTGATCTTCCAAGCAGCAAAATTTAATGAGCACTCGTTCTAGCCGCTCGACCACAGATCAACGGAGATCGTGAGGAGCTTAGATAAATGTAAGTTTTACTCATAACATGGATACTGAAGGTGCTCCCTCACACCCACTTTGTATCGAGAGTCTGCTGCAGTAAATATTTTTAATAAAAGAAAGGGAGAAATATCCAGACTCCATGTAATGTGATATTCCATACTGCAGTTAGTTTCAAATTAAATAAATGTTACAGTCATTGAGGTATGCAAAGTATCAAAGAACATATTTGAAAATTTGAGCCAGGATGGCTCAGTTGGTGTAGCAGAGGCTATGGGCTGGATGGCCAGGGTTCAGTTGCCACCAGGGGCAAGAGATTTTCCTATTCTCCAGTTTCCACATCAGCTCTGGGACACCAGAGGTCAGGAATGGTGGACCTACTCCTGCACTTTCCCATGTCTTCATTACATGGAACTTAATTAAATACAGGGGCAACTTTATCTCTTTCTTTACGTGTTGCATCCTGTTGTGTGTTATTATTATTATTGTATCTCTCTTGCTCTGTTTTACTCCAGAAGAGTATACATTTCTGCTAGTGTTAATTTTAAACAGCATATAAGAAGGACTCCTTACTGATGGGAATATACAGTGCGTACAATCAAGTGTGCGCCGCGGNGACAATACTTACATAATATTTTACTGTGGTCACTGACCATATCCCATGTTACCGTGTATTTGTGCATAAGTACTAATTCAGAGATGCATGTGACGGCAGAAGGTCACGATGTGGAGACTTAGCTACATAAAATGATTAGTAAACAGTCACAAACAGTAAAAGTTTTACTAGACATTAGACAAAATGTAGTACAGCTGTGTTACAAGAATATGCCTTCTGCACTGTCATCAGTAACAGCAGTTATGTAAGATCTTCAATTCTGTGTGTACACAAACCTCATTATTATCGAAATGTTTATAAATGTACATATTTGCCATTGATTGTTCTGATGAAACTGATTGAGAGTCCAGCTTATTATTTTAATCACAAGTCTTCATTGTCTGATTTTGAACACCGATTTTATTTTGTAGACTCCACTACCAGAACAAAAACATAAGTACACTGGACAGTATAGAAGGAGTATATATATCATGTAATAACATAGAATACTGGACAAAAACATATTTAATGAATTTTGATAGTACATGTATTACCATACCATGAAACAAACTGTCAAACACTGATCAAATAAGTGGCTGGAACATCATTTTGTACATTGTCTCCATCCATGACAAGCCTGTGGGGCTGACAATAGCTTTTCTTACACTTGTTTGTCACTGTTGGTTTGGAGGACGTTCTCCCCAGTTGAAGCCACCTGGTCGATCCTCAGGTAGGGGTGTATAGTCTGGGTCCTGAGGGTGAGCATCAAACAGAGCTTTCCTAAAACAGTATTGCAATATCAGTATGTTTTTAAATGTTGGTATACCAGTACCATGATATGATCATACACTGTGATGACTTGCACAGCTAAGCCGGGGGGGGGGATAAAAGTTGTTCCTCAAAAAAATCCATGGTTTTAGTCTGCAAGCGAACTATGCTGGCTGAGCAAGTGCCAACTTTTGCAGATAGAGGGTGTCATGTGGTCAGTGCAATGAATTCCCACGGCTGTTAATCTCGGTTTTCTAGACCGGAGCTGTTATTTCCTTGAAATAGCTCCTCAATTATCCTCACAAGGCTGAGTGGTCCTTGTTCCAACTTATTACTTCTCAGAAAATCTGGTAGCGCCGGCAATTGAACACGGGCCTCTGGATCTGTAGGCAGGAACTCTGAAGTTGTTCCTCTGATTAACTAATTAATTACTACACTTTGAATGTATGGGGCAATGGGTTTACAGATACATGTTTTCTTGACCTTGGCACTAGCTGGAAGTGAGTGGTCAATTTCATGCACCAGCTGCTTCACCCCGAGGGAGTAAGTCCCAGGTGCTCATCAGATAGGAGGCTCGTTGGGCCCCAGAGAAAGTCTGAACGTGGAGAAGTGAAAATTCTTGACTCTACCGGTACTCGAACTCCAACCTGTCATCTGGCCTGTAGCCATTCACTATACAGACTGCACTATCCCAGCTCTAACTAAAATAGTACATTTTTTTATTGGAGCTGAAACACTTTAAATTTGTTTTCAATTTGCTTAGCATTTCCACAGTTGAAACCTAACAATGCTAAAAAAATTTATGACCAGTGATACTTTTTAGTTTGTATGTGCTGGTACAGGGAGCCAGGATAGTGTAATCAGTACAGTGACTGGCTATGGGCTGGATGACCGAGGGGTTGGAGTTCAAGTTGTGGTAGGGTTAAGAATTTTCTCTTCTCCACATCATCCAGACTGTCTATGGGGCCCACCCAGCTTCCTATGCAACAGGTACTGGGTGTTCTTTCCCTGGGAGGTAAAGCGGCTGGGGAGTGAAGCTGACCTTTCACCTCCAAACAGTGCTGAAGTCAAGAAAATGTGGATCTATACATCCACTCCCCCATACGCTTCCATGTGGCATAGTGCTTAATTAGTTAAGCAGAGGGACAACTTTACCTTTTTACCTTTATGTGCTGGTACACACACTGGAAAACTTACCAAATGTGACGTGTGCTGATGCAGTGCATGTTTTGACCTTAAATTACATAAAACCAGGCATGAGGATACAAACAGAATTTCTTAGAAGAAGCATCAAGTTCAGTATTGATTGGTTAATATGCAGTGGTACAAATTTTTCTCAATGTGTATCTTAAATTCTTGGGTATACAGAACTATAGCTTATAATTTAATATCACATATGGAAGGAAAGTACAAAGCTATTCTGATTCTGTTATATTTTAGCGTCCTGTTGCGCTGATTTAAGTCCATGATTTATTTCACCGTCTTCTAGTGCATACACTTATCTGCCTCACTCCTCTCTCTCGCACTATATGTTTCGGCACAAAAGTGCCATCTTCAGGTGCCTTATTCGATTAACGTTAAACTAGTTCACTGCATGCCTTGTCGTCTTCATATTAAAATAATTAAAATATATATTTATCATGTATATTGATAAACATTAAATATTAAAAATATTAAAATTGTTCAGGATTTTTCCTACGTCGTATCTCACTACTCGAGTCACACCACAAATGTGGAATACTCTAGAAGAAGAAATAAACCAAAAACTACAACACAAAATGAAAACTATATATTTAAAGCAACAACAAAAACTGAAAAGCATGGAAGAAACCCAAACAACAACAAACAAGCATAACAACACAAATTATACACGCGTAAAAAATTGTACGAACACTCACTTCACACACGACGAAATTCAGCTCTTAAGCAAAGGGCTAAAATACAATCTACACTATAAAAACAAAAAAATCATTGAAACACTAGCTCTCGAAGCAGAAACAGCAATAACAAAACTAGATATAACAGAACACAACTACTATAGACACATAGTTGTGAAGCAAATCAAAGAAATTAGCAAAAACAAAGATATTCATAATAGCTATAAACGTAAGAGAGAATGGAAATTAGCTATGAATATAAAAAGAAAAATGCTAGATAACAAATTAATAGCAACAAA